CAAAATATTATTAAAGGGGAAAAATTATTAGCTATTTAAGATTGCTAAATGTCTATTTGGATATTTTAAGTTTAAAAAGATAAATGCTTCAAAATATTTATCAAATAAAAAAAAAAAGTTGGAAGATTTTCCAGTATATCCTATAATAATTAATACATGAATAAAGCCAAAAAAAAAAAATTTTTGATTTATTATTTATCAATAATATATAAAAGTACGAGAAGTAAATTAGGGATAAGATTTACCTGAAATTAATAAAAGTAATAACATTTGCTAATTACATTAATGAGAAGTGTATGATAATGAAAATGCTTTCATCTATCCATTCATTCATTTATTTAAGCTATTAATAAAATTAATTAATTAACATTGGAATTAGCACAAATTTATTGTTTCAAATGTAAACTTTTTCATTTCTTTATTGAATTAATTTGAATTCATTTCTTTACTGAATTTAAAATGTAAACTTTTTCATTTCTTTATTGAATTAACAAAATTCTTATTTGATGAGAAATAAATGCTTTTTGATATTCATCCAAACATATCAATGTATGTTAATAATTATTTATCAAATATTAAGGTTAAAGGTTTCGAAATTTTACAAACTATAATCTTTGGGCTAAATTAAGATCGAATAATTACCGGTTGTTACTGTTTCATTAATATAAGTTTAATCATGACTATTACGATATTACTAAACTTTCATGTAGGTTATTTTCATTCTCGCTAATCGACTAATACCTATTACTGTAATCCGAATGGTAATAATTACTTTTTAATTAAAATGCATTTCTTTTTCAACCTTAATTTCCTTTATCGTCACAATTTAACAATTAGAAAATGGCAATTCTTTTACCTCATGTAAGAATTTGACAAATAACTTTCATAATCTCAAATGATAGATAATCAAGGAAAGAGAAAATAAAAAAAAGGATACGATATCAAATATGCAGTAACGAAGAGAAAACGTTCATATACAAATTACAATCAGGTAAATATACCTCATGATATATCCGGAACCTGAATTATGTTAATATCAGGAATGCTACTCAAAAGTTTTAGTCATATTTCAACGTTATTGAAAATTTTCAGCATTATTCAACATTGCTAAAATATGATATCTCTAAAATCGAAATTATAACTTGAGAAAGAAAACTTGCTAAATATATACTGCAAAAAATAATGTCACCAAATAGGAATGAAAGTTGGCATCATTAAAAACATTTAAATCTAATTGTTAATTTCCAAATTCATTAATTAATAATTCTTCAAAATATGCTAAAATTTTTGCGAATATTACTAGGAAAATGATTACTAAAAAAAAAAATTGATGAAAACTAAATTGTCACATAATTTAATGTGCGACAATTTAATCATTAAAAGATTGAAATTGTTAAATTTATTGCCTTTTTTGAAGACGAAATTTTCAAAGAATTAAAAAAATTAAAAAATTCTTTAATTATTCAAAAATATCAGTGGAAAATTTTAAATTATACACAATCAATGAAAAAATTTACTCAATCCTATTAAATTATTACATATGCTTTTTTATTCTATTGTTTACGTGTATACTTTTGCTATTTCCGTGATACATCGGCTATTTACGTGATACATCCGCTGTTTACGTACGTGATACATCTGCTTATATGAAAAAAATTTAGACAAAATATACAAACAAACAAATCACCGTTGCGTAATACACCTGCTATTTATGTGATTCATTAATTATATGGAAAAAAAAAGAAATTCAGACGGAATATACAAACAAAATCTCTTCTACTGCTAATTTACATCATTTGTCAATTATATGGGGATGTGAAGAAGCCGAAAAATGCTTACTATAGTTGAAAGGAATTGAAAGAATGAAAATTTAGCGAAATGATTTTTCACACTAAATGAATTTAAGGCGGAATGTAAAAATGTCTGTTGCCCTTCTCACGACTTCTTGACGCTAAATTGACCCTAATCATCATTCAAACGTAACAAATCTCTTCCCTTACTGATTAGCAGCAAAAAAAGAAAAAAAACTCTCATTTAGCTTTCCTTTGACAAATGATATCAATCAAAACTTTTCCACAATCATATCATCTGCAACATTCCAATTTCTCTCTCTCACGGACTTAATCTCCATAGATAATATCAGTACTCCAATTAGAATATGAATTGATTGTTAATTGTTATAGAAAACAAGATAAGCTTTCCAGATTTAATCATTTTTCATCCATCAGTTATTATTATTGTTATTTGTTATTTGTTATTTGTTATACTATGACAAATGAATGTGATTGAATATTAGAGAGTTGAGAAAAAACTCTTAAATATACTTTGAATAATGGGGAGAAATAGAGAAATTGACGAAAAAAAGGAGATTTGAATTTTGAAGGAATTTTTCAGTATGAAAAAATTATTATTTCGATAAATAGGCATTTTTACTTGTTAAAATTATAACTTTAAAACTCATCGAAAGGAGAAAGGTTAAAGTTCAAAACTCTATCTATTCC